AAACCTTTGAGGGTTTTTTTTTGTACATATTTTTGTAAATAAATTATTTCGTTTTATTCAACAACTGTTGTTTCTTCTTCGGCGCAATCCATCCCCCGTAACACTGTATACATATACATTTTCCCATTTATAATGTAACTTGCAACATGGATTCATACAATCAATTTACAATAATAGTTGGAACAAATTTTATTCTTAACAATATAGCTCTCTTGCATTTTTGCTCTCAGATGCATGGATATCGAGATAAGGACGAAAATATGAAAATTTGGCGAATTTCGTTGTTTTAGTACTTGCTAATGGTAACACTCGGGAATCGGAGCATGTTACAAAACAACTTTTAGAACAATAGTTGTAGCAAACTTAATTCTTAACAATATTGTTCTCTTGCACTTTTGCTCTCAGATGCATAGATATCGAGAAAAATACGAAAATATAAGAATTTGTTGCTTATTTAAGTTGTTAATGATAACACTCTGGAAACAGACCATGTTATAAAAAAAACATGTTAGAACAAAATGTTATGATAATTATCCATGTTGCAAGTAAAAATAATGAAATTTGAATATGAAAATAAAACACAATTTATGAACTTTACACTTGCAGAGATTATTTAAGAATCGGTTTCGATATAAATGAAACTGTTCTTCACAGTCTCTTCTTCTCGCTCCGCCAAGATCTCTTCACATCTGATCTTTAATATCTCATTTGCTATATTTTTTCAAGAAATTTTATATTCAACCATCACTTATGACTCATTTCATTGTAATATTGTTATAACGGACCACGCTGTTTTTTAATACCTCCTCCATTTTGATTTTTAAAATTTAACGACGCATATTTTATATTCCGGCTGTAATTTAATGATTTAAAATTTTCATATGTTTATACCCGTTGGCTTCGCTTTCTGACATTTTCGGCTGAAGATGAACTTATAAACTTCGAAACCGGTTCCGATATAAATTAAATAATCTCTGCAAGTGTAAAGTTCATAAATTGTGTTTTATTTTCATATTCAAGTTAGAACAAAAGTTTTATACAGGGTGGGGGAAAACGGACGGACGTGTTTAAAACAAATAGTATTCAGGCTCAGGTACTAAAATTGGTGGAGATTTATGTGGTAACGTGATTGGAATTTTGGTTAGTCTAAATTTTGCTCTAGAAATGTAGGCCATACTTAAGCAAAATAACAACATTATTTTGGTTATTAGCGATGAAGCTCATTTTCATTTGAACGGCATGGTAAATTGGCAGAACTGTCGTTATTGAGAGACCATTATATAGGCCCAAGGTGAGTGTTTGCATCGCTCAAAATTGCCGTCACCTGAGAGATGTTGTTTTCAAGCATTAATTTTATAAAATGGCATAATCATTTGAGTACTATTACTTCTATGTGTGAGCACTAATATTTATATTGTTGATTAATGATGTATTAAATAGATAATACATACTGTATTAATAGTATGATTTAAAAATGATTTATCCGTTATATCCGAAGTTTGTTATATCTAAAGTAAGATTTACAAAGTACCGCGGTTTGGCGCCATTTTGGCTCGAAAATCAAGCGGGAAATTTAAAACTATGTCGTTCTATTGATAACATTACCCCAAATTTCCTTTCTTTTTTTCTCGTAGTACTCTGAAGAGTCGAAAGTCCATCTTACTGCCATTTTTGCAACTCCAAAGGTAACAAGACGGCAATATTTTTGTACATAAGTGGTGAGATGCAATGACAAGCTGTCAAACCGCCATTTTGGCTCGAAAACAGGCTTCATGAACCGCGGTACTTGCTAAATCTAGGGACTTTAGTTATATCTATGTATTACTGTACTTGAGCTATTAATCGTTGAAGTTCTTCGTTTTCCGTGACGAGTTTCTGGTATTTTTCCTCCTCCTCTTTCGAAACACCAGCGTCCGGGTTATATTTACTTTCGGCTTTATCCCTAGGATGACGCACAACTTCGATTACCTACACGCAATTTTTAAATTAATCATAACCAACAATCGATAATTCCTTATTATTTACCTTCGGCACAAAAATCAAAGCCATACTCAAAAAACAACAAAAAATGATCGCCAAAGCAACAAAAGTGTAACTAGCGTCTTGTTGGCTCGCGATAACCATCGTAACGGGAGCCGTAATTAAACAAAGAACAACGACGTTGTAAATGCTCATCCCCACGTATCTCGAATCGTTGATTTGCTTTACTTTTAATGAGCGAGTTTCGTACGCTAAAAACAACCCAAAGACCTAAAAATGAATCAAAACGCTTTTAACTTTTGACACCCCCTTTTCGTATCAAATGAATCTCACCAAAACTAATCCTTTATATCCATACATAACGCCCAACCAAATATTGTTATGATCACTTTCACAATGTTCTAATTCCGGGCTCAATTTAAAATCGTCGGCTGAATTGGTGGGTTGCTCCGACGGGAACATCTCCAACTTCCTTTGTAAGGGGTCTTGAAGTTGCCAAACTAAAAGGATAACGAAATCGACAACCAAAAGACCCGTCACCATCGAGTAAAGTTTCCACGGTTCGACTTTTCTCGTTCGTACTTTTGGGTCACTTTTCGCTTTCGTCGTTAATCGGTGAACGCGCCACACTTTGCTGAACATCGCGCCGTAAGAAAGGGTGAATCCTGTCGTTAATAACCAGGCGCGAGCTTGACACACGGAAGGATAAGAATCGGGTGACACGAAGTTTCCATCTAAACCGAGTAGAAATATGCTGGCCAAACAGACGATTATTCCAATTAACATTATCGTGTTGCATACTGGATGTGATGATTGTATCACTCTACACAAAAAAAAAATAATTAAAAGCTAATTTAATTAATTTTGATTATTTTTTTTTACCTTCTGTGCTTATTCCAAAGGTTAAATATGATTAACCCTATCGCTACGAAGATTCCTATGCTAGAAAGGGAACACATACATATAAAAAGCGGTAGAGATACCGTTCTAAGTACGCGTTTTATGATTGTTCTATCTTGAGGCACTTTTCCACCTAAAAATTAATTCAAATTATTTATTTTTATTAACATACATTTTCAAAAACATTAATAAGAATATGATTTTTGGAAAGATCAGAAAATTTTAACCTAATTTCATGTATCACAATCTATATCTATCATAAAATTCACTTTTAAAACTTTAATATGACATAATGACATAATTCATTAGTGTTTTGTTTTCGGCCATCTTGATTTTTAAAAACAAAGATATTTCGGGTGTTAAAGCACGTAGATATGTCGAGTTTGGACTCATTTTACGCGTTTTTTAATTAACTACCGTAATATACACGTATTATTTATTTTCGACCATCTTGGATTCTATAAAATTTAAATAACATAAAAAATAATATGATTTTTGTAAAGATCGGAAAATTTTAACCTAATTTGATATATCACACTTTATATCTATCATAAAATTCACTTCTAAAAGAATAAATGACATAATTAATTAGTGTTTTGTTTTCGGCCATCTTGATTTTTAAAAACAAGGTTATCTCAGGTGTTGTAACACCTAGATATGTCGAGTTTGGACTCATTTTACGTATTTTTCAATGATTTACCGTAATATACACGCATTATTTATTTTCGGCCATCTTGGACTTTTTAAAATTTCAACAACATAAAAGAATAATAATATTTATGAAAAAATCAGAAAATTCTATCCTAATTTGATATATTACACTTTATATCTGTCATAAAATTCATTTCTAAAATCATAAATGACATAATTAATTAGTGTTTTGTTTTTAACATCTTGATTTTTAAAAACAAAGTTATCTCGGGTGTTGTAACACCTAGATATGTCGAGTTTGGACTCATTTTACGTATTTTTCAATTATTTACCGTAATATACACGCATTATTTATTTTCGGCCATCTTGGATTTTTTTAAATTTCAAAAACATAAAAAAATAATAATATTTTTGTAAAAATCAGAAAATTCTATCCTAATTTGATATATTACACTTTATATCTATCATAAAATTGACTTCTAAAATCATAAATGACATAATTAATTAGTGTTTTGTTTTCAGCCATCTTGATTTTTAAAAACAAAGATATCTCTGGTATTATAACACATAGATAGGTCGAATTTGAACTCATTTTACGCGGTTTTTAATTAACCACCGTAATATCCACGCATTTACTTTCGGCCATCTTGGATTTTATAAAATTTAAAAAATATAAAAAATAATACGATTTTTGTAAAGATCGGAAAATTTTAACCTAATTTGATATATCACACTTTATAGGTATCTATCATAAAATTCACTTCTAAAATCATAAATGACATAATTGAAGGGGTCAATGCAAGAAGTGGACATGTCCAGTTTTTGGTGAAAATTACTTTTTGATATAGATATGTTCTCTGAAGAATTCTGCATCGTCCTGTGCAAGAACCAGACCTTTATTTATACAGCCAACAATACAGCAGAGTAATGTTTGTTGTCTGCCCTACAATACTTTGCAAGAACCGGACATGACATGGACATATCTCTTTCTTGCACAGTATTCTTGTGTGAATTATTCAGTTTGTTAAAAATTCGTGTGTTAACGTTGTCCTACAAAAACGTAATTTAATCATAAAATAATAATGAGTTGAAGAAGATCCATTTGGTGGAGATGATTCTGATGTTGATCGTGACTATAAACCAAATGAGCTAAGTGAATCAAGTTTGGAAAACAGTGATGAAAATGATCATAACCTAACCAACCGAAGAGGGAAAATACGGTTAATGAATAAAAAAACATGGAAACGAAATATACGAAAGGAAAATCGCAACTCAGGCAAAGAATATGTTAATACTTCTAATGTTGTTGTACCAGAGAGAGTAATGGGAAATTCTTGCAACTGTAGACTAAACTGTTTTCATAAAATATCCCTTGCAGATAGACAAAAACTTTTCGATAACTTCAATAAGCTACCAAGCAAAGATCTTCAAGATTCTTATTTATGTCACTTTATTACCGTGACTGACGTCGCACGAAAAAGACAACGTATGGACCAACAATTCAAACCAAAAAGTATTAGTTGCAAATTTAGTGTAAGCATTTTTTGTCCTAATGTTTAGCATCAACTTATTATTTTTTATTTCAGGTTAAAGATGGTGTGAAGAATTTTCAAATCTGTAAAAATGCGTNACAGATCTAAGAGGACGACATAATAATAGACCAAATAAAATTTCTCAAGACATTGTTGACCAGATCCACAACCATATATTAAGCTTTCCGAAATATAAGTCTCATTACAGCAGAAATGATAACTTAAGCAAATATTATCTTTCACCTTTACTAAATGTTGCCAAATTACACATGTTGTATCTGGAAAAACATGAACCTATTCAATATAGGATACTACAAGAGAATGGAACGAATGAAAATTTTAAACCTGTGGTGCAATATGAATTTTTTAGGAAATACTTCACAGAAAATTTTAATATCACATTCGGCACTCCAAAATCTGACACGTGTCAAAAATATGACAAATTGATTAAACAAATTGACTCTGCTGACACAGAAGATGAGAAAAACAGACTTCAAACTGAAAAATCGCTTCATGTTTCAAAAGCACAAACTTTCTATGAGGATCTTAAAGATAAATCGGAACTATCGAAAACTGCTGCTCACGTGGAAGTTATAACATTCGACTTCCAACAAAATTTTCCATTACCAGTATCATCAAGTGGAGATGTATTCTATAAGATTCAAATGTGGGTCTATAACTTCTGTATTCATGTTGCAAGCACTGGCAAAAGTTACTTTTTTCTATACGATGAAACCATTGCTGGAAAAGGACAAAACGAAGTAATCAGTCTACTACATTATTTCTTCAAACATGTTATTAGGCCAGAAGTTACAGGTCTTTACTCTGACAACTGCGCTTCTCAAAACAAAAATTTTGTAATGGTTCAATACCTTTTTACACTAGTAGAAATGAAAAGATTTAAATTAATTCACCAACGCTTTCCTGAACCAGGTCACAGTTTTTTACCCTGTGATAGATGTTTTGCAGCTATTGAAAAAAGAAAGCGACGATATGACAAAATTTATCTTCCAAGCGAGTACAGCAAAATCATTAAAGAATTTGAAAAAAATTTTCATGTTATAAAACCTGACCAAATTATGTTTCTAAATTTTAAAGAACATTTTATGCCAAGTTTCAAAAAGAATCCCAGTACGAAAAAAAACAAATTTACAATATCGAAATATAGAATCTTTCAATATGAAATGGCAAAATTGCCAAAGATTTCATGTAGCATTTTAGTATCACTACCAATATTCCAAGAGTTTGAACTTAAAATAAATAATAAAATTTCTCTGACAATGCCCCTAGATACGAACATTTTATACATAAAAAGAAGAAAATTAAAGAAGCAGAAATTCGAACATGTGATGTCTCTTGCTACAAATTATGTACCAGCATCGGATCACTGGTTCTATGAGAAAATTAAAAACTTTCATCAGGATTTCCTACAACCTGAAGAAAGAACATCTTGCTCGGAATTTGAAGATGATGATTAATGTTAATGTTACAACTATGGTAGTGTTAAATAAACAATATTTAATAAAATTAATGTTTTTTATAAAATTGAAAGTAATATATAAATAATTTAATAAATACTGAAAAAAAACCTGTGCAAAAAGTGGACATGTCCATTATTATTACTATTGTTATTAGACAAGTAAAAATATAAAATGGGAATAATTTATAAAAAAAGTAACCACAAATCAATAACATTTAACTGTCCAAAGTCAAAATTTGATTAATTATGTTAATAAATACTAAAAAACGTTTTTTACCCCCTCTGTAAAATTTTTAAAAGTGGACAAGTCCACTTCTTGCATTGACCCCTTCAATTAGTGTTTTGTTTACGGCCATCTTGATTTTTAAAAACAAAGATATCTCGGGTGTTATAACACCTAGAAGATAGGTCGAGTTTGGACTCATTTTACGAGCTTTTTAATTAACCACCGTAATACACATGCATTATTTATTTTCGGCGATCTTGGATTTTATAAAATTTAAAAAACAAAAAATAATACGATTTTTGTAAAGATCGGAAAATTCTAACCTAATTTGATATATTACACTTTATATCTACCATAAAATTCACTTTTAAAATCATAAATGACGTAATTAATTAGTGTTTTGTTTTCGGCCATCTTGATTTTTAAAAATAGAGATATCTCGGGTGTTATAACACATAGATAGGTCAAGTTTGGACTCATTTTACGCGTTTTTTAATTATCTACCGTAATATATACGCATTATTTATTTTCGGCCATCTTGGATTTTATAAAATTTAAAAAATATAAAAAATAATACGATTTTTGTAAAGATCGGAAAATTCTAACCTAATTTGATATATCACACTTTATATCTATCATAAAATTCACTTCTAAAATCATAAATGACGTAATTAATTAGTGTTTTGTTTTCGGCCATCTTTATTTTTAAAAACAAAGATATCTCGGGTGTTAGACCACCTAGGTATGTCGAGTTTGGACTCATTTTACACCTTTTTAAATTATCTACCGCAATATTCGTGAATTATTTATTTTCGGCCATCTTGGATTTTATAAAAAAATTTAAAAATTGATATCTCGGAAAGTTTAATAGCAAAATAGGTCGTGTTTGGATTCATTTTAAAGGATTTTTTGTAAATATTATGACACAAAAACTTACCATTCCAAACTTCAACATCAAACCACGTTAAATTATCAGCTTGAGTATCGTAAAACCCCAACTGCTTGTAACTTCCAT